TTTTCAGAATCTCATTAATGACATTTTCTTGTTCCTTCCAGGCTGCTGGAGACCCCAAAAACGGGTAAGATCCAGACTCTTTCTTGCTGTTTTCAGTCTGTGCTGAGCTTGAATCCTGCCGGGGGGGGGGGGGGGTCAGGATTTGCTGCTGGAAGACTAGCTGATTTCCCTTCTGAGGGAGGAGACTAGAGCTGGGGAAGGGGAAATGTCCCATTATGCCAGTTTTACAGCAAGACTCGGACATTCCCTCTTGCACCCAACAGGTGGAGGGAGAGCAAGACGGCCACAATGGGCAGAGGGGAGAATAAGATGGCCAGAAGAATAAACAAGATGACCACAGGCATAAACAGCTTTAACAGGGGATTTGACAGATTCATCGAGGATAGGTTTTATCAATGGCTTCTAGCCATGGTGACTGAGGGGAACCTCCACATTCGGAGGCACTAATCCTCTGAATCTCAGAGCCAGGAGGCAACATCCAGGGACGGCCTCGACCTCTGTGCCCTGTTGTGGCCCTCCAGAGGAACTGGTTGGCCACTGTGTGAGACAGGATACTGGTCTAGATGGACATAAAGAGTGATTAAAATGTGGGATTCGCTGCCAACAGATGTAGGGATGGCCACAAGAATAAACCAGTTTGAAAAGGGAGTTAGATAGACTCATGGAGGATGAGTAACAATGTCTACTAGCCATAGTGGTTGAGGGGAACCTCCACAGTCAGAGGCACTAAACCTCTGAGTCCCAGAGCCAGGAGGCAACCTCAGGGGGAAGACCTTGGCCTCTATGCCTTGTTGCTGGCCCATTCAGGGGAACTGGTGGGCCACTGTGTGAGACAGGCTGCTGGACTACATGGACTATTGTTCTGATCCAGTTGGGCTCTTCTTACGTTGAGATAGCACCCAAGTCTTCCTGCTTAGGCTCCTGAATGTGAACCTTTGAAGCTGCCTGCTCCTGAGTCTGGTCACTGGCCCCTCTAGCTCAGAGTTCTCTTCTCTGACTAGCCCAGGAAGGCTTTTCGCAGCTCCTGTGCCTAAGATCCTTTGCTTGGGGATGCTGGGGATTGAACTTGGGAGCTTCTATGTGCAAAGCAGGTGCTCCAGCACTGAGCCACACCTCTTGAGCCAAGGGCCTCATCACCTTTTGCCAATCCTTTCCTACATGTAAGAAGGGCCGGGGAAATACAGAGCCACAAGAGAACTCCGATTGCATGTCCCTATTGTTGATTCTTCTTTGATTCTTTGGTTTTAATGCCACATGTTTATACTCTGCTGAGCCCCAATCACGGTGCTACTTGTCCTCACGGCAGAACTTTGGTCCCAAGCATAAATGGTAGCTTCACCAAAGTTATCCAAAAAAACACATGGAAAGAATGAGTCATATGAACCATCTATTCACATAGATCACAGTAACAACCCATAAATACAGAACAAAGTTGGAGGAGTCCAGTGACACCTTTAAGACCAACAAAGTTTTACCCAAGGTATCCGCTTTTATGTGCACGTGCACTTCTTCAGATACAGTCATAAATACAGAGAACTTTGATATAACAATTCCACAAAACATTACGTACCAAATCTGACCATGACAAAAATATTTAACCACATACAATTCAACAGGTATACTCAAACCAGGTCGATTATCAGTCTGCAATCATTCAAATGATCCACTTTATATCTGTTTGGGCCAAAAGTACCAATAAATGTACTCAATCCAAACTTCCAATAGATTTCATGGTCCACTACTCCTTTCGAATATGGATCAAAAGAGTCCCACAAACCTGAACAAATGAGGACGTAGCGCCCGCTCTTCACCTGTTCAATAACAATCTTCTTCATAGTCATAAGATACTCCATTTGCCTGTTGAAATAATCTATCATCACCCAACTGAGGCTCCAAGGTTGTACTTGTGGGGTCTGGGTAAAGAAGAAGAACGTCTCTGGCTGTTGTGGGAGTAGTGTGGGCCCAAGGAGACTTAGACAGAGGATAGAAAGTTTGTCACTGGGTTGGAACCAGTGTTCCCTCTAAGCTAAGTGTGAGCTAGCTCACCGTTTTTTAGCCTCCAGCTCACGCATTTTTGTCTTAGCACAGGACGGACAGCTTCAGAGCAAACTAATTTATGCAGCAGGCAAATCGCTCGCTCACAACTTTAATGCCAGTAGCTCACAAAGTCAAATTTTTGTTCACAAGACTCCACAGCTTAGAGGGAACATTGGTTGGAACTGTGAAAAGAAAAGCCGGTAGCACCTTTAGCAGGTCATGTTGGGCAGAGGGAGAGATGGAACTGGGGAGCCTGAGGCCTAGAGGAGGTAGCACAAGCCCTTAGGGATTGGTGTGTGTTTGTGTGTAGAGGGAGAGAGCAAAACTGGGCACTTAGGACAGATCCAAATGGAAAATATCCTGGAAGCAGAGAGGGATGGCGTTGCCAGCAGGGGTGGAGAAGGGCAGCCTGGCAGAGAGAAGTCAGGAATTCAGTGTTCCCTCTAAGCTGAGTTAGTGTGAGCTAGCTCACAGTTTTTGAGCCTCCAGCTCACACATGTTTGCCTTAACTCAGGAAGGATGGCCCCAGAGCAAACTAATGTATGCAGTAGCCAAATCGCTTGCTCACTCACAACTTTAATGCCAGTAGCTCACAGAGTACAATTTTTGCTCACAAGACTCCACAGCTTTGAGGGAGCATTGGTCAGGATGTGTCTCGCAAGCCTAGAAAAGGGGGGGGGGAATTAGAGGTGGACAGTGTGACTCATGGTGGATGGCTTAATTTTATTGCTTCTGCATTTCTCTTCTCTAGCACGGAAGGCACCATGGTCCCAAAGCCTGAACTGGATTGGGCGGAGCTTGAACAGGGGTCCAGCATTCTCAGAGAGAAAAGACCCATCCTTCAGGTGCCACTTCTGGGGTGCAATGGTGAGACTCGCTCTCCCCCCCCACCCCATTTCTAGCTCACCCTTCTGCTCCCTGCGGCTGCCGTGGTTTGCCCTTCAGCTAGCAAAATCTCTGAATTACTCTGTACGTAATACATACCTTTTTATCATCACCAAGTCATCCTACAACCAGTGTGCGAGAGATCTTACAGAGGTGATCAGCCCATGCCTGGGCAGTATGGCTTCAACTGTAGAGGATCGAATGCTGCTCCATCAAATAACATTCACTGAATATAGAAAGTCAGCATGTCAAGGAGAGGGATTCTGACTTAACCTTCTCCCTGGGCTGCTAGTTTTCTGAGGTTATTCATTTCCCCCTTTTTGCAGAATTGAACAGTGCAATCTGAAATCTAGACTGATTTAGAGCTTTTTAAACATTACTTTAGAACAGAGGCCCCCAACCTTTTTGAGCCTGTGGAATTCTGCAGGAGGCGGAGCCAGCCAGAAAATGTCCCCCATAGCTTACCCTTTTGTCACACTGATGATCTTTGTGCTGGGCTGGCACCAGAGCCAGTTTGGTGTAGTGGTTAAGTGCGCGGACTCTAATCTGGGAGAACCGGGTTTGATTCTCCACTCCTCCACTTGCACCTGGCTGGATGGCCTTGGGCAAGCCGTAGCTCTGATAAGAGCTGTTCTTGAAAAAAGAGCAGTTTCTGTCAAGAGCTCTCTCAGCCCCACCTCCCTCACAGGGTGTCTGTTGTGGGGAGGGGGAGGGAAAGGAGTCTGTAAGCCGCTCTGACACACCTTTGGGTAGTGAAGGGCGGGGTATAAATCCCATCTCTTCTTCTCCTACCGAAGCAACATCTTATAAAATCTGCACAGCCAATCAAATCTCCAGTGGCCAATCAAAAGCCTTGCTGGGCAAAATTCCCACCAGGCTCTACCCAATTTCTAAAAACACTTGGGTGCCCAGGGTGTTCCTATTAAAAGGGGATTAGATAGATTCGGGGAGGAGAAGTCTATCAATGGCTACTGGCCATGGTGACCGAGGGGAACCTCCACATTCAGAGGCTCTGATCCTCTGAATCCCAACGCCAAGAGCCAACATCAGGGGAACACCTCCGCCTCAATGCCCTGTTGTTGGCTGTCCAGAGGAACTGGTTGGCCACTGTGTGAGACAGGCTGCTGGACTCAATGGACCACTGGTCTGATCCAGAAGGGCTCTTATGTTCTTATGAAGGCCTCAGCCTCTATGCCGTGTTGTTGGCTGTCCAGAGGAACTGGTTGGCCACTGTGTGAGACAGGCTGCTGGACTCAATGGACCACTGGTCTGATCCAGAAGGGCTCTTATGTTCTTATGAAGGCCTCAGCCTCTATGCCGTGTTGTTGGCTGTCCAAAGGAACTGGTTGGCCACACTGTGAAACAGGATGCTGGGATAGGTGGACTATCGGTCTGATCCAGCAGGGCTCTTCTTGTGTTGTTGGCTGTCCAGAGGAATTGGTTGGGCACTGTGTGAGACAGGATGCTGGACCAGATGGACCACTGGTCTGACCCAGCAGGGCTCTTCTTATGTTCTTAAAGATGCCAGTGGGCACTGGTGTGTTCACAGGTACCATGTTGGAGTCCTGTGCCTTAGAAATTGGAATTATCTATATCTAGCCCCCTTCTGTTGTCTAGGTCGATTGAATCCAGAAGTAGACAAGCCACTGTGGAAACATTCTCAGCCCACTGGAGCTGAACCATAGCAACTTTCTTTCCTCTGCGAATGAAATGTGTCGTCTTCTCCATTTGAATTTTGACTGCCTGCAACTCACACCTGTCTTTATTTCTCCTTGTTTTGGCAGGTCAAGGGCCAGTGACTGAGAAGGAAAGAAAGGAAGAAGAAGATGGAAAAACTCCGAACATAGAAAGTGCTGAACAAGCAGAACTGTCTGGGGAATCGTTAAGAGAAACAGATGGTGAAGTTGCCCAAGTTTCTGAGCAGGACGGGATGTTGGAAAACGAGAGAACTGAATGGCAGGAGAGGATTCCTGCAGGAAGGAGTCGAAGTAAGCCCGTTCTTCATGTACTGAACGATAAAAACACCAGCAAGAGACACTTGACGTGCAGTGAGTGTGGGAAAAACTTCAGCAACACCTCTAACTTGATGGCTCATGAGAGGATCCACACAGGAGAGAAGCCGTACAAGTGCTCCGACTGCGGGAAGACATTCGGGAAGAAGTCAACACTCATCACCCATGAGAGAATCCACACAGAGGAGAAACCATATGAATGTTCCGTCTGCGGGAGGAACTTCAGCCAGACCTCCAGCCTCATTGCCCACGAGAGAATCCACACAGAAGAAAAGCCGTATGAGTGTTCAGAATGCGGGAAGAGCTTCAGTTTGAAATCAAGCCTGGTTGCCCATGAGAGAATCCACACGGGAGAGAAGCCATACAAGTGCTCAGAGTGTGGGAAAAGCTTCAGCCAGAAATCTGCCCTCATTGCACACGTGAGAACACACAGAGGTGAGAAACCTTACACCTGCTCAGCATGTGGGAAATGCTTCAGCCAGAGCTCAAACCTTATTGCGCATGAAAGAATCCACACGGGAGAGAAGCCGTACCAGTGCTCTGATTGTGGGAGAAGCTTCAACTGCAGCTCCAGCCTTATTAGGCACCAGAGGATTCACACTGAGGACAAGCCGTATGAGTGTTCGGACTGCGGGAAAAGCTTCAGTTGCAGTTCCAGCCTCATTAGACATCAGAGAACCCACACAGGAGAGAAGCCCTATGAATGCACGGACTGTGGCAAAACTTTCAGTGTGAGTTCCCAGCTTAGTGTGCATCAGAGGACCCACACGGGAGAGAAGCCATACAAATGCTTGGACTGTGGGAAAAGCTTCAGCGTTAGATCAAGCCTCAGTGCCCACCAGAGAATCCACACTGGTGAGAAACCTTATAAGTGTACGGACTGTCCGAAGAGCGTCTACTTGAGATCTAGTCTCAATGCACACAAAAGAACCCACGGAGGGAAGAAGCCGTATGATTGTGCAGACTGTGGGAAGAGCTTCACTTGCAGTTCAAACCTCATTAGACACCAGAGGATCCATACGGGCGAGAAACCGTACAACTGTGCAGATTGTGGCAAAAGCTTCACCTTGAGTTCAAACCTTATTGCCCATCAGAGGACACATACAGGAGAGAAGCCGTACCAGTGCTCAGACTGTGGGAAATTCTTCAGTGTGAGTTCTCAGCTCAATGTGCACCAGAGAATCCACACGGGAGAGAAGCCGTTTGAATGCTCAGACTGCGGCAAGAGCTTCACTTGCAGTTCGGGCCTTATTAGACACCAGAGGACTCACACGGGAGAGAAACCCTATCAGTGCTCAGACTGTGGGAAAAGGTTCAACCTGAGTTCGAATCTCATTACACACCAGAAGACTCATAGGGGGGAGAAACCCTACAAATGTGTGTACTGTGGGGAAAGTTTCTATACAAGACCAAATTTTGTTGACCATCATAAAGCCAACCATGTAGACGCTGTAAATGTGAACACAGGCACCAGTAGCATTAAGCAGAACTCCCAATCGATTAACTATCAAATAAATTATGTAGGATGGGATTGATGATAGAGGGATTAATGATCCCACAGAAGCATATTCTTGTACGAGAACCCTTTTAATTTAAAAATTGTCTTTCAATAACCAGCATTTTCAAGGTGGCTTACCTAGACATTTTTTAAAAATCCCTGTGATGGGATAGAAGCACCCCTTCCTTCAAAAGGAAATAGTGCTTTACACAGAGAGTGAATTTGCTGCCAGAGGATGTATTGATGGCCATGGGAATAAACAGCTCTAAAAGGGGATGAAATAGATTAATGGAGGAGAAGTCTATCAATGGCTACTGGCCATTGTGGGGGACCTCCACATTCAGAGGCACTAATCTGAATCCCAGAGCCAGGAGGCAAGATCAGGGGAAGGCCTCGGCCTCTATGCTTTGTTGTTGGCCGACCAGAGGAATTGGTTGGTCTCTTTATGAGACAAGATGCTGGACTAGATGGCGCACTGGTCTCATCCAACAGGGCTCTTCTTATGTTCCTCACTCTCAGCATCCTTCCAAGCTGAAACAGAGACAAAAACACAAAGTGGAACCAAAGAACATCGATTAAAAATACAAGAGGATATATTAAAAAGAAACGGAACTAATCTGTTGTGCCTTTACTGCCTTTTCAAGCACTCCCAGGGAAAGGGTCAAATTAGTTTACCGGGGTAAATCATTCCATGAGGTGGGTGCTGCCACCAAAAAGGCCCTGTCACATGTTTCTGCCTGATGAAATGGGTAATTCAGCGTCGGGCTTCATTGGATGATCTATGTCAGGGTCCTGAGAGAAGGCAGTCCTTCAGATACATTGGTCCTGAACTGGTTAGGGCTTTAAAGGTAAAAACCAGCACTTTAATTTACCTCCAGAAACAAACTAGTATACAATGAAGCTGGATCCCAATAGATGCCGTATTTAACAAGCAGCAGGAACATCATGAAATGAGTGGGAGATGTGCAAGAGCAGTTGTGCAGGAGACCTTCCCATGGGATTGTGCCCCAGCAATCACTTCTCATACTTGCCCCATACCTTTCTGTTTGGACCATGATGGACGATCTTTGGATAGGTGCAAAAATGTCCACCTCTTGGGTTCTGTGCCTTTTGTAACATTTCATTTTGAGAAAACTATTTCTGATATGTTTGAAAGTATGAGAAGGAGTCCTTAAACTGTTTCAGGCATTTCGTGTAGCAGAGCACCAAATGAAAATGATAGGGAAAAGGTCTAACAATCCAGAAAAAAAATAACAGTGTTGTTTTTTAAATAAAAAAATGTCTGGTCTTTGTATGAGACACCATGTTTCAGGTATCAAGTAACAGTGGTGTTTGGTGTAGTGGTTAATCTGGGAGCGGACTGTAATCTGGGAGAACCGGGTTTGATTCCCCACTCCTCCACTTGCAGCTGCTGGATGACCTTGGGCAAGCCATAGTTCTGGCACAGCTGTTCTCTCAAGGACAGTTCTGTCAAGAGCTCTCTCAGCCCCGCCTACCTCACAGGGTGTCTGTTGTGGGGAGGGGAAGGGAAAGGAGTTTGTGAGCGCTCTGAGACACCGTTGGGTAGTGAAGGGCGGGGTACAAATCCAATCTCTTCTTCTTCTTCCCCACTCCTCCACTTGCAGCTGCTGGATGACCTTGGGCAAGCCATAGTTCTGGCACAGCTGTTCTCTCAAGGACAGTTCTGTCAAGAGCTCTCTCAGCCCCGCCTACCTCACAGGGTGTCTGTTGTGGGGAGGGGAAGGGGAAGGAGTTTGTAAGCCGCTCCAAGTGAAGGACAGGGGATAAATCCAATCTCTTTTTCTTCTCTTCTTCTAAAAAAGCTGCTGAAAATTGAGGGATGAAGCAGTGGTACAGCAGCATCTAGAAGCACATTTCTTTTGCCTGACATATGAGCTGATGAAAGTCATTAATTTCCTGCCTTTCTGAAAAGCACTACTGAAACTCAAAGATGTAACTAGGGATGGGCACGAACAGGCTCACAAACGGAAATTTGTGATGGATTTTGGGCACTTTGTGGTTTGTGAACCGAAGTTCACGGCAGGTCTACTGTCATGAACTTTCCACTAACTTTAAAACAGGTCTGGTGGGGAAAGATGCTGGACCCCATGCTCTGAACGGCGCTTTTGCTTCTCATGCTAATTGCTTGTTTTACTGCAGGGGCCCATTTGAACCGGCCTGCCAGTTGCTCAGTTTACCTCAGGCTGAGGTCGGGTTCTCCGCAGCCAGGTGGTGGCTGGAGATCTCCTGGGATGACGATTACAATTGACCTCCAGGGGACAGAGGCCAGTTCACCTGGAGGAAAATGGCCGCTTTGGAAGGTGGGCTCTATGGCATTATAATCCACTGAAGTCCCTCCCCACCCCACCCCTCGCCTTCCCCAGACTCCACCCCACCCCCCAAATCCCCAGTTATTTCACAATCCGGAGCTGGCAACCCTGGCCTGCCAGTTGTTCAATATACCTCAGGCTGAGGCTTTCAACAGTTGCCAACCTCCAGGTGGTGGATGACGTTCTAGTGGGATTACAACTCATCTCCAGGTGACAGCGCTCAGTTCACCTGGAGAAAGTGGCTGCTTTGGAGGGAGGGAGGAGAGGAGGAGGAGATTGGATTTTTACCCCGCCCTTCACTACCCAAAGGTGTCTCAGAGCGGCTTACAAACTCCTTCCCCTTCCCCTCCCCACAACAGACACCCTGTGAGGTGGGTGGGGCTGAGAGAACTCTGACAGAAACTGCTCTTTTTCAAGGACAGCTGTGCCAGAGCTTGTGGCTGACCCAAGGTCACATCAGCAGGTGCAAGTGGACGAGTGGGGAATCAAACCCGGTTCTCCCAGATTAGAGTCCGCACACTTAACCACCAGTGTTCCCTCTAAGCTGAGTTAGTGTGAGCTAGCTCACAGTTTTTTAGCCTCTGGCTCACACATTTTTGTCTTAGCTCAGGAGGGATGGCTCCAGAGCAAACTAATTTATGCAGCTGCCAAATCTCCTGCTCACAACTTTAATGCCAATAGCTCACAAAGTAGAATTTTTGCTCAAAGGGCTCCATAGCTTAGAGGGAACATTGTTAACCACTACACCAAACTGGCTCTATGGCATTGTTCAGTCGCACGGTCGAGTCCGACTCTTTGCGACCCCATGGACCAGATCACGCCAGGCCTTCCGGTCTTCTGCCGTCCTCTGAAGTTGGCTCAACTTCATGTTCGTTGCATCTATGACACTGTCTAACCATTTGATTCCAGATGCAGTAACGGCAGCTTTGCCATCCCCGTCTTCTTTGACCTTCAATCTTTCCCAACATCAGCGTCTTCTCCAGTGAGTGCTCCCTTCTCATTGGGTGGCCAAAGTATTTGAGCTTCAGTTTCATTATCTGGCCTTCCAGGGAACAGTCAGGGTTGATTTCTATGGCATTAGACCCCGTTAAAGTCCCTTCTGCAAACCCCACCCTTCTTGGGCTCCATCCTCCAAATCTCCAGGTATTTCACAACCTTGAGCTTGCACCCTAGGCTGAGGCCCATTTGAACTGAGTTGCTGAATTTACCTCAGGTTGAGGCTTTCAAGTCAGGTTGCCAGCCTCCAGGTGGGGCCAGGACATCTGGAATCACAACAGCTCTCCAGACTAACACAGATCAGTTCCCCTGGAGAAAACGGATGCTTTGGAGGGTGGACTCCATAGCCATTATAGGTTGCTGAGGACCCTCCCTCCCTAAATCTCCAGAAATTTCCCACACCGGAGTTGGCAACCTTACCCTCCACACAGTCCGCTTTGAACCAGTCTGTGCATTGATCAATTTACTGAAGGCTGAGGCCACTGAAGGAACGCCAGCTTGATTTATTTCAGGCTTGAGGCCTGAAACCTGCCAGCTTTTACCTCCACTGGCCTTTTTTGAATCTTTTCTGTCCCTCCATATTGTAAATATGAGGATTTTTGTTCTTCTTTCTTCAGGGCAAAAGGCAGACATCAGTCTGGTCAGCTGAGAGTCACTACATGTGGGCAGAGGTCACCAAAAGACTGAGCCAGCGAAGTCTCCAAAGGGCTTTTCTGGATCAGGTATAGGAGGCTGACACACCAAACAGCTCCTAGGAGCAAATGGGAATCACTAAGGAGTGCCCCTTCCTGAAGAGCCCTTTCTGGAGCACTCTCTCTCTCTCTCCCCTACTACAGCAGCAACATCTTTTTCACGGAGTTTATGTGTCAGGATCCACAGCAAAACAAAGAAGTACATGCTTCCAGGAAGGTTTTACTTTTATTGAAAAGCCATAGATGCAGTAACATGAACACTGTTAGGAATGGCGGGTTACCTATGCGCATAATAGGATATAGGGCATTCGTATGCACCCCCCCTCCATGTAGTACCCAATTAGATGGGCTCCCGCGCGGGGGCATTTGGCAGATAACTAATGGCTGCAGAAGCTGGGAAAGGTAAGAAGCTTCCCACGAATTCCAGACACACCAACTCCTCCAGTGGCCTTGAGAGATATGCGTTACAGCCAAGATGCAATTAAGCGCATGGGAAGGAGTGCAGAGCAATTGGAAACACACACCACACTCATGGCAGCATTCCTGACATTATGTCTCAAATGTCAGTCAAATGAGGGGAATTCAAAAATGGCAACTTTCCCCTATCGCTACTGCCCCCCCAATGTGTAGGAAAACCGCATCAGTTGGACTTCTGTCTGCAAAAGACACATAAGGAAGCTTATTTACTTAATTTGTACCGTGTTTCCCCGAAAATAAGACACTGTCATATTTATTTTTTCTCAAGAAGACACACTAGAACTTATACCACAAATGCATAGAAATCCTGCTAGGGCTTATTTTTGGGGTAGGTCTTATTTTCGGGGAAACAGGGTACCTCGCCTTTCTCCCCAAAGGGGACCCAAAGCAGCTTAAATCATCCTACACCACTTTGGTTAAGAGCGTAGACTCTAATCTGGGAGACCCAGGTTTGATTCCCCACTCTTCCACATGCAGCTGCTGGTGTGACCTTGGGTCAGTTGCAAGTTCTCTCGGAGCTGTTCTCTCAACGGGAGTTCTCGAAGAGCTCTCTCAGTTCCACCAACCTCACAGGGTGTCTGTTGTGGGGAGAGGAACGGAAAGGAGATTGTAAACCACTCTGAGACTACAAGTGAAGGGCAGGGTATAAATCCAATCTCCTCCTCCTTCTCCTCCTCCTCCCTCCATTTTATCCTCATAACAACCCTGTAAGGTAGGTTCCCAGCAAGTGTGTGCTGAA